CCTCGGCCATCTGCTCGGCCTTGGCGCGGTAGTCCTCCTCCCAGTCCACATCACCCTGTGATGACGTTAAGGTGGCAACAAACACGGCGTTAAGGTGGCACTCGGCCAACACGTTAAGGTGGCAGGGCGTACGGGTGGGCAGCGGTAGAGGTTGACCCCGAGGTGGCGCTGGACGAGGGTGCGCCACAGGTGAGGGTCGTGCCGGAGCCGGTCGAAGCGGGCGCAGACCAGGCCGAACGACGCGACGTCGGCGAGGCTGGGCAGGTGGCTCAATATCAGCATCACCTCCTCGTCCGCCAGGCCTTCCATCTTCTGCTGCTCTGTGTCACTCCGAGGCTTTCGCGGCACGCCAAAGAAAACTGAAACTCTAATAAAATTGATTTCGTAAAGATCGAACAAGGCCGCATGTGTGGAGTGGGCGCGAACAAGGACCAGGTCAATGGGTGGTTTTATCTGGTGGCCTCCATCTCCATCTACTCATACATCACGTTTTGGCTCCTCGTCCTGGTGCGTGCCCCACACCTGCATGAATGCGCGGCAAATCAGAGAGAAGAGATTTTGATTTGTTGTTGTTGGCACGCAGCCATTTATCGAGAAGGACTTCCATGTGATACATTCCCTGTTCCCACCAGCAGAGTATGCCATCAAGTACGGTTGCCGCCACACTCGCTGCACAAGGAAGTCCCACTTACCTACCTGCATGTCGGTGTGCAGGACGATGGTTGTTGTAGGCATCTTCGTGCTCACCATTGCCAGCACCTTCATGGGTATCGTCATGCTGCGAAGCCATGCCGCCACCGTGGAAGCACAAAAGAGCAGCAGCACTGCCCGCAAGCGAACGTGAAGTGCACGTTGTACAAAAAAAACAAAGGAGAAAAAGGGACTGAGCTAGGACGGCTTCACATGGCCATGTAATGGCAGCCATGGTATTTTTCAGTAAAATGCAAGAAGAAAAGAAATAAGACTCATCTTTATTTTTTCTACTGCCATTACATAAAACTTGCCGCGAAGATGTCGTACCGCCCCTCCGCCAGACTCATGTTCAGGGCGTCGCCCTTCCGTGCCGGAGGTACTGGACCTTTTGCCCCACTGCCCATTCATTCAATTATTTGTTATCGCACAATTCAAATTAAATGAATCACTTCACATTGATTATCCAGGCCACGGCCACGGAGCTCATTCGCTCCATGCGCCGCCCAAGCCCAGGATGCAGCTGGTGGAGGCGGAGCAGGTGTTTGACCGCCCCTTCCTCAACATTCTGGGTGTCTCTGCCGGTGCTGCCTTCGTGTTCTACCACCTCATCGCCATCCCGTTCTTGTACCTCCCCTTCCCGCACACTGGCCTCATGTCTGCTTCACTCATGCCACGCCATGCACTCACTGTGATGTGGATGGTGCTGCACTTAGCAAGGGCAGTGACAAGCCTGCAGCGCAGAAGCTGGTACAGAACAAGCACTAAAGCCAACCCTCAGTGTTCAACAAAAAAAGGGACTATAAAACCTGTTTTCAATGTTAAACCAACCTGTGTGATGTTCAAGACACAGGCCCAAAGGTGAAATTGTGCTGGTGATAAGGGAAAGGTGTGGTGTTTATTAAATAGGTATGTTGATATATACAAGTGGGTGTGTGATGTATTTACTGCATACAAGGTTAGGCCACATAAGCACTGCATTTAGATGCAAATATCCAAGGCAGTTGGTTGGGTTATTGTCTAGCTTGTTGATGATGAAGTGAAAGAAGTAGGATTGTAATAACAAGTGCAAGAAAAGGAAGTTGTCAAAACAGCCACACCCTCAGGATGTCAGGGATCAATATAATCTTGAGATTGGCCTCTGAGACTACAATTACAAGCACCACTCATTGAGCCCATTGCTGCTGTTATATGGATTCCTATATACCTACAGAAATGATCCATGAGCAGTATCTCCACTTCCTAGACTTACCCTTGCATGGGTGGACAGCCTCAACAACAATTCCCCTGTGGTGTAGTTGGCTAGCATTTCCGCCTGTCACGCGGACGACCCGGGTTCAAATCCCGGCGGGGGAGATCTGTCTTTCTTTTTGGTTGGTAAGCTTCCAACACCATCCCATTGGCCCAGCCAGTTTGTGGTGGTAACTGTAGTACCTTTCCTTATTGTACAAATAACTGAGCAACTTTTCAATGTCAACAGACACCCAAAAGAATTGAATCTCAGGACTACTTTTGGTGAAGACACTGTTGGCATGGCTCATGACCTTTCCCTACACCATATCAGCTCCCAAGCATTATATTCTTCTTGAATTGTTCAAGTGGAGATACCACAGCTCACTCCCACATAAACCTTCAGTGGGCAATCTGCAGTGGTGTTTGTGTCCAAGCCTTGTCAATGCAGACATGCTCAACTCATCTGTGTTTAGCTACATTGTTATTGTTGGGCTTTTGGGTCCTTGGTATTCTTCCTTGATGTGATTGAGGGTCCTGCACCAACTTGGCATGGAGTTCTGTAAGGAAAAATGCTATTGTGTATGGGGGCGTAGCTCAGTGGTAGAGCAGGCGACTGCAGATCGTCAGGTCCCCGGTTCAAACCCGGGCGCCCCCTTCTCTTTTTGGTGAGAATGCCCAAAAACATACCTCGACCTGATCAAGATAGGAAATTTTGCTAGGTTGGCACCTGATATTCGCAGTGCAGCTGATTGGAAAGTACACGACATGCATTTTTTTGTTGTGCTATACTCATGTGAGATTTGACTTTTTTGTTTTGTAGGGCAGTTTTGAAGCTTTGGTTCTGCATGTGTGCTTTTGACATGCTAGACCACTGCTGGAGTTAAAAGTGATTTTATCAGTGTGAGATGTACCTTTGTTGTGGTGGACTTTTATCTTCAGGAATAGTGCTCCAATTCAGCCCAAATGATGTGAGGTTGAACATGAACTGGATGTGAGGGCAGCATGTTGGCAGGGTGACTTGCACCTACATGTACAAAAACTGTAAAAAATGTGCATAGTCATCACATACACATACGTGATAAAGTAAGTGTACCAAAACATGTACATGATAGAAATTGGTCATTCCAGACCTTGACTGATGGCCCAGTTACAGCATCATATCTCTCATTATGATGGTATTTTAATCTGCCATTTCTCAAGATGCTCCCAATATGTTGCCTTGCTATTTTTAAATTAAAACCATTTTTGTGTTGTCAAAACCATTTATATGAGCTTAAACTCACAAACAAAATCACTTGTCAAAATGACTGGACCTCTCATTTCAAATGACCACAAGTTATTGGAAATCTTGAGATTGTTCATAAATGTGTCCCTGGTTTGTCAGGTGGGCAGTCATACCATGTGCACTAAGGCCTGTTTTGTTTGATGAGTTTCATCTCACAGGCATGTGTGCCATAAAACAAAATCCTTAACATACCTTTAAGACTACATCTCCCATTCCATGCTCATCAGGAGAAAATCAGTTCCACTTTACAACTCAAGGACCACACGTCAACATCATACCAGGTGAACATTGTCAAACCAAGCTCATCCCATCCAACACAATCCTCGGTAGCTTAGTTGGTAGAGCGCACGGCTGTTAACCGTGAGGTCGCAGGTTCGAACCCTGCCCGGGGAGTTCTTCTTTTCCCCTTTTTGGCTTGTCACTCACCAATTTCAATCAAATGGCACACATGTCCACAACATTACAGGTCCATTGGATAAGGCACCATCAGGCCATTCAGCTGATTGCAGCCTAAGCAAGTAAATTGGTGCTGAGTGGGGGAAGTCCAAAAAATTGTACAGCTTATGTTCTACACAGTTTTCCTCCAAGCACCTCACCCATGATGCCAATTGGGTTCAAGCACACTGAGTCTTGTGGGCTTTCTCTGGTCACATGCATCCTGGCATACTAGAGTGGTGAAGGTGTTCAGGTTCTACACCAAGTCAAGTCACCCCTCAACAACTTTTAGAATCTCATCCACAAGTTTCCAGTCCTCAATGGATATGGGCAATGCATGCAGCTGGGAGGAGCAACTACACCAGATGGAGGCCACCCTCACAACCTCACTGCAAGAGCAAGCAGCCATGGCCAGGGCAAACAAGATCAGTGCCTCCATTGCACCCTCAATGGCAGCAAGCTCTTGAGGAAGAATGCTATTGTGTATGGGGGCGTAGCTCAGTGGTAGAGCAGGCGACTGCAGATCGTCAGGTCCCCGGTTCAAACCCGGGCGCCCCCTTCTCTTTTTTGGTGAGAATGCCCCAAAAAAATACCTAAACCTGATAAAGATAGGAAATTTTATACGAATCATAGAAAAAAGTATCTGTAAATTGTGGGGGTTAGCTTATTCCTCATTGTTGTTGGTACACAAAAGTGCCCCTATGAACACAAAGCCGTCCTAGCTCAGTCGGTAGAGCGCAAGACTCTTAATCTTGTGGTCGTGGGTTCGAGCCCCACGGTCGGCTATCTCCCTCTTTTTTTAAAGGCACAATATGTGCCCAACATGTAAATCACTCTTCCAGCTTGCTGGCCTGCAAATTGTGCCCAATTTTGTCCACATCTGTGTCCCTATCCCTCACATTTTCCACACAACTGCCTTGACCCTTTAACCCTGATGTAGCATCTGTGCTGGTAGCTCACCAACCAAAAAGAAAGACAGATCTCCCCCGCCGGGATTTGAACCCGGGTCGTCCGCGTGACAGGCGGAAATGCTAGCCAACTACACCACAGGGGAATTGTTGTTGAGGCTGTCCACCCATGCAAGGGTAAGTCTAGGAAGTTGAAATACAGAAATGAGTCACCAAAACATACCACAGGATAGTTTGGCCATTGGCCTTTAAATAACAAAGGACCTCTACCATATGAATTTGGAGCAATGCTATCCTCAAAAAGTGTTCTTGTACTGTTTATAAACCAGAATTACACTCCAAAGACATACTCACATTTGTTTGCTCCAAATTTTCACACTCATTTCAGCTTGCTGGAGGTTAGAGGTAACCTCCAGCATAAGACCAACTTTGTTTGTTTCAGTATTACAATACAGGATTTTCATTTTCTCTGGACATGCAGCACACTTTGTTCATTTTCGCTTGTGTTACCGTTCTATCTGACTCACTGCCACACACAGGCGGTCATAATGCCATACTGAGAAATGGGTCAACATGTTACATTCAGAGGTTCAGAAATGATAGCCAATGGAGTCCCAGTAGTCGCAGTTCAGCTTATTGAATCCTTGGGTCAGGCCGCTCTGGGGCACGTTGAAGGCCATTGACGCCAGGTTGCTGGAGGAGAAGGGCGTCCACAGAGCGCTGGGTACGGTCGCATTGTTGTTCCGCCCCGGCTGGGTGTGGGCGAAGGTGGTCCAGTGGCGCAGCATTTCCCACGACAGCTGCGAATCCGCGGGCGAGAACGCGTAGCCCTCGTCGGCGAAGAAGCTCGCCGAGTGGAACACGTACACAAGCTCCGAAGCTGTTATGTGCGTGTTGCATATTGCGTCAATAACACGACACGACACGACACGCACATGACACATGACACGTATCGTACCGTGGCACACGGAGTTGTTGACGGAGCAATAGGGCGGGTTGGCGGGGTCGGTGTGCGGGGGCGCCGAGCGGAGGAAGTGGTACGTGAAGACGGGCACGCCGTACGACGAAAGCGAGAGGGCGGCGTTGCGGGTGGAGCACACGAACAGGAAATCGGTCGTCATCCGCACCAGCGTGTAGAAGTCCTGTCCCGTGTCTACACACGGAAATAAGGGCGTGCGGGCGGGCGTGCGGGCGTGAGTGCGTGCGTGCGTGCGTGCGTGCGGCGTGTGCGGCGTGTGCGGCGTGTGCGTACACGTGGGCGGGTAGAGCTTCAGCACTTCCAAGGCATGTTCGCCGAACAGGACGTACATGAGCGACTCGTACTCCCAGTCGTAGATCTGTGTGTCCAATCGGCACAACGATGGGCGACTATGAGCAGAGAGACAGCGCTCCAGTCAGGTGCTGCGCGCGAGAGTGGTGGTGCTTGCCTGGTTGTGCAGGGGCGAAGTGATGTCCATGGCGAAGGTGAGCGTCTCGTTCTGGTTGGTCCCCACCAGCACGGGCACCCTGTGGAATTTGCCCGCCGCATACCTCTGCATTCCACAAATCAATCGATGTATTCACCATCGATCGAAACAGCACGCCGTGTGTCGTGTGTGGGCCATCATGTGCGTGCGATGTGTGCGGTGTGTCGTGTGCTGTTTCGTGTGCTGTGTGTCACCGTACGCTGAGAGCTTGATCGGCAATGACGGTGCCGTCGACAAAGGGCATCCACGGGAGCGCATTGATGGCGAGCTTCGGCGGCCAGGGCACCACCAGCACCTTGCTCTGCGCCGCGATCACCTCCTCGGCCGGCCTGTTCGTTCAACGTTGCGTGCGCTCGGTTAGAAGATTAACATTTTTAACAACAATGCGCGGAATGCAGAGCTCAACGGGGCGGGGGTAAGCACTTGGAGAGCAGGCACGCCATGTCGTTCTCGGGGCAGGCCAGGTAGGCCCCCAAGAACGTCGCGTACTCCTTGGCCTCGTTCAATGAGGGCGACCTATCACCACCGTCAGTCACGCACACGACACACACACGACACACACACGACACACGCACGACACACGCACGACACGAGAGAGAAATGGT